ATACATTCGATTCTAAACCATGTGATGTAATACATCTTAGACTATGGGAATAAATAAAGCTAATTCATCTTATATAGGCCTTAATGTTTTTTTCCACCTAAAAATAGATGTATAAATCAAGATACTACGCTGTTAAAAAGCTTGTGACTTAAGCTCAGATCGAGGAAATCCTCACAGGATACATATATTGCCAACATGAGACTGATCAAATGAGGTCTTAAATAATAATGGGAAGATACACGTAAAACAACACCAAGTGAAATCTAAACTTCACCCTATTGCACAAGCAGGTGGCTATCAGGACTCAGTAGCTAAGTGGATAAAACGATAACAATGGGAAGATACAAGTAAAACAAAATCAAGTGAATTTATGCTATGACTGTTGTGTAAATGATAAATTTGGAAGTATCTTCTTGAATTGTTAAATAAAATGTGTGTGTGTGTGTTTTTCAAAGGATCAAACTGCTTCACTGATTTGTAATTTTAAATCATGAATTGAGTTCAACTAAGGAACTGTTGAAAATCAGAAGGCATCGAACTTATGCTTTACTTATTTAATTAGGTTTATACAAAAGTAGTTTATATATATGATCATGTTGAGAATCCATTCCATATTTGTCGGACCTTAAATCATTGTGCTATCAACTAATGGAATGTATATATTATATTCATCAATTAGTGAATGAAATATATCGTGGATGAGTACGGCTAATGAGGAGTCCTTTCTATTCCTTCTGGTGGTTGACTGGATTATGAAGACCTCGACATCGGAAGGAAAACACGGCATATAATAGATAGCTCGTAATCGATCGGAAGATTTGGACTCCCCAGATGACCTGACCTTACTACCCGACACACGTAAACAAATTCAGATGAAGACAACCAGTGTAGTAGCAGTCTCTGCATCAGTAGGCCTTAGCATACACAATGGAAAAAGCAACATCCTCAAATACAACACGGAAAACACCAACACAATCACACCTGAGGGTGAAACTCTGGAAAATGTGGAATCTTTCACGTACGTGCGAAGCGTCATCGATGAACAGACCAGAAAGACGTTAGAAATGGATAGAATACACATTACGGAAATCATCAAACTGCAACACGAAACAAGCGCTAGCTTTGAATTCTGAAGGGAAACTGAAAAGTGGAAGAGCAAAGTACACATTGCGTCGAGAATTGGAAACAGACTTGAAAAGGATGAATCAGGACTGGAAAGAACATGAAAAACTTGTCCAGAACAGAGTTGAGTGGAGAATGATGATGAGCAGCCTATTCTTCTTTATAAGGGGTAACGGATGTAAGTAAGTAAGTAAGGTAAATGTTTGATCGGGAAAATACTGAAATTCTGGACCTAACAAAAGGACTAAGCTCAAAGATACATGAAGATAACGAGACCAATGAAGGTTAACAAACACAAATGAGTTTCAATGGTTAAGATCATGAGTCAGTTGAAGCTAGACCACCATGGAAAACCTGGAAGCATGAGACAGACGTTTCGTCCTTTTGTGGGACTCCTCAGTAGTGCGCATCCACGACCTCACCCCCTGCGAGAGCCGAACCCATGACCTACTGGTTTCGCGCGCGAGCACTTAACCACTGGACCACTGGACCGGCATCCAACTGTATTAATGTCTAACTTCAACTAATACACGAAATTGAGGAGTCCCACAATGGGACGAAACGGCCGTTCAGTGCTTCCAGGTTTTCCATGGACGTCTAGCTTCAACTGACTCATGATCTTAACCATTGAAATTACCATTCTATCCACAAAACCCATATGATACAAATGAGTTTGTCATCAACAATGGATTGGGCACAATTCAGCTTGATGAACACAATAATACCAACAAAAATAAAGAATTCAATTGAGCTATAAATTATCTTCAGTACAGAACCTTCTATGGCATAGAATTTCTCCAATTTTAATCACTCCTTATAATATCATTCATAATTATCTTATTTGATACAAGAATTCATTATAACAAACATTTAAGTAATATGATGGTGTATACTACTGGTATCGACAGATATAAGTAGTATGTATCACCAATCGGAAGTGAAATGCTTAGAAGCAGTAAGATTAAGAAGATCGAAGAAAAAACAACAAGAACAAAGAATGATTGATATAGAAACGAGGAAGCAATGAAGTCTTAGACACTATCCCGGACCCCGTGAGATGCAAACCCAAGACTAGCTTCAATTGACTCATGATTTCAATCTGTGAAATTAATAAAATCTCCACAAACCCCTTTTGAACATAAATATTAGTACAAAGAGGTGGTGAATACATATACACCACCCAAGTCACTTGATTTGTGTTTGAACTGTGATACTGCCTGGTTGCCAAGACTGAACATCTAAAAGTTTGACCCACAAGACAATAGAGCAACATTAAGAGATACAATCTCTTGTATCATTTATTCCTTCAGCATCTTACAGTCCATGTATATCATTGATTTGAAGTCATAGTTTTCCGACTCGCCTAGATTGATCTTTCATCTCTATTATAGTGCAAGACATTCGCCTTTCGATTAAGATATCATACTTTCCCCTTCCCTTCGACTGTACCAGGACATCGAGGTATACATCATGGATTGATTTTACTCTTACTTACTTACTTACGCCTGTTACTCCTCGTGAAGGAGCATAAACCGCTCACCAGCATTCGCCATCCAACCCTGTCCTGGGCAATCCTTTCCAGCTCCTTCCAGTCCCTATTCATCCTATCCACATCTGCTTCTATTATCCGACGTAATGTGTTCGCAGGCCTTCCTATTTTCCGCTGCCCTTCAGGATTCCAAGTTAAGGTTTGCCTCGTGATGCAGTTTGATGATTTGCGTAATGTATGTTCTATTCATTTCCATCGTCTTTTCCTAATTTCTTCTTCAGTTGGAAGTTGGTTTGTTCTCTGTCAAAGTAGACTGTTGCTGATGGTATCCGGCCAATGGATGTTGAGTATCTTGCGAAGACAGCTATTTATAAATACTTGTACCTTCTTGATGGTGGTTGTTGTAGTTCTCCGAGTTTCAGCTCCATACAGTAGAACTGCCTTGACGTTGGTATTGAAGATTCTCAGTTTGATATTGGTTGAAATTTGTTTTGAGTTCCATATGTTCTTCAACTGTAGGAATGTGACCTTTGCTTTGCCAATCCTTGCCTTAACGTCTGCATCTGAGCCTCCTTGTTCATCGATGATGTAAAGAACATTTATATATGAAAATTAAAAGGTGAACTAGACAGGTTAAGGGTAAGAGTCATAACAAAGGAAAAAAATATTAAAGTACACAAAAACAAATGTGATTACCACTCTGGATAATAAATCAGTATTATCAGGGTAGGTTAAGTATAAGGACAAATTGTTTTTGAACACATAAAGGAGGTTTCAATTTCCGTATAGCCAAGGCTTCAATAAACTTTAGTATATGTCCTTGAAGGCTTTTATATAACACTACGAATGCTGACTTGATGTCAACCTTATGACCCATCTCAATCAACTGTTTCGCAATGGAGGATGATGTTTGTCTATCCTGTGATCTTATTTGAAATTCATCTGATTCTGCAACCATTTTGGTATGTGTTCACCCACCCTTAATTGCAAATCACGATTGCTCCTCCCTACGTACGTGTTTCCACATATACATGTAAATTTATAGACACAATGGGATGTGACACAATCGTTTTCATGCTGTTTGGGCTTTTGGTGAAACATAGACCTTGTCTTTTCGATAATGACAAGTTGGGCTGCATAAAATGTCCGGTTGATAGCTAATTTAAGTCTCTGTTTCAACATGAGACTATTTGTGTCACCTCTGAATGGTAACGTAATATAAACTCGCTTTTTGGGTTCCAGAAGCGTCATAGATCTAGTCATATTGCAACCCCTCTAGTGGTTTATGAACTTCAAAGGGTAACCATTATTGATTAACGCATCAGTCAAGAGCTTCATCTCTACTTCAATAGTATCACTAGTACAAGTACGATTGATTCTATTGAATAAGCTCTTTATTAAACCGCGTTCATAATGAATAGGGCAGTGACTATGAAAATTAAGATATTGTCCTGTCCATGTTGGTTTTCTATATATAGCACGTTGGATGGAACCATCATCTCTCCTACTAATCAGGATGTCTAGAAAAGGGAAGTTGGTTGTTCTTCTCTTCTTCACATATAAGAGAAATGTACTTTTGACTTCTATTGAATTCTTTTAACAAGCGGTTTATGTTTTCACCTTTATCCCCTATGATTATTATATCATCAATAGATCGTTTATACAGACCCATCTTTTGAATTGAGTCTTCAACTAAATTTTCAACATATCCCATGAACACATCATTCAGCAATGGTCCTAGAGGGCTACCCATAGCTACACCATCTATTTGTCTGAAGTGTTCACCTTCAAATGTGAATTCTACATTATCTATACACAATAATAATAAATCTTTCAAAGTGCTAACAGGAAATGGAAGTGGAAGGTTATTCAAAGAAATATTTATGGTTTTCCTGAGAGGTACATTTGTAAATAAAGTGTTCAGATCAAAGGAGCACATTGTCTTTGTCTTTATATTTCTATTCTTTAATTAACGAAATATTTACTGTATGATTCTCAAACTTATTCCCGTTTGTGTTCTCATTCATTACAATATAATCATTGATTAGTTATAATTCTCAATAGATTTTTAAAGAAACAATATTATTCATCGATAAGTCGATAATTTATGGACGACCTTTGAAAGACGCTAAAGTGACTTTGTAAGTGTCGATCTACTTATTAGCGCTAAAATGAGTATTATAAAGATTATGATTCACATTTGATAGTTAGATTTATGAATGCCAAGATACTATCTAACCAAATAAATGAATACATTTGGCGCCAACATCCAAGATTTGTTATCTTATAACCTTATTGGTTCGTCCATAAATTATTATACATTGTTCGTTTTTGTTTAAATGATCTTCTTTAAATGTATTCCTTATTGTTGTTGCTATTCAATTTCTAGAAACTATACCATCAAGACATAATGATTGGAGTAGACATTTTGGAAAATGATCAACCTTATTCTAATCATAAACAGATAGAGTTATTGACAACAAACAACAATCAATCAATCAATAAATCAATGAATCAATTAATTAATCAATCAATCGATTAATCAAGATTCATTTATCAATTATTTATCTAAAATTTGACAAGTGAAACTAGAAAAAATAAACAATTTAAATCAGAAAACTCTATGTCAGAATTCATTCAATGTGATACACAAAATTAATGTGTAAAATTGTGCAAATTAGAATGCAAAATACATAGCACAATTAATAATAATGAAAAATAAAAATTATTATGCATTTGATTTGATTGATTTCTTTTGAGTTTATGATCTATGATTGTTTATTGTTACTGGATAGGGTTAGGCATTGAGAGTTTGTCTTCGTTTTACCATTAGTAATATTGATCATAGTACAGCAGAGGGTGGGGAGAGTTATCTCACTCTCCCTCTTGAAAGGCTATTACATGGTCATGAGTATTCAGCCATTGTCAAGGAGAAGCAACTTAATCTCTGCTAGCGATGGCGGTGTTGTTTAAGAAATTGAGAGGATGTAAAGGGGATGTCCGATGATTTGACCTGATTACTGGACATAGAGAGATCACCTAGAGGAGTTAGAAAATCCCCATTCCAAATCATTAGTGTACATGGGCTTCAGGATCTTGAAGGAAAAAAATGGTGTATAAAACTGTTGTTGGTCACTGGCTATCATGGAACCGCATCTCCTTACGTTGCTCCATTGCCTTGTGGATCCAGACCTTTACGTCGAAGGCTCAGGGTGTGTTCCGCGAATTAAACCACTTGCTTCGGTCTGGGTACATGGGCCGTATCCCAACCTACACATAAACCAAATGACTTGTGTGGTGCATATGTATACGGTGGCTCTTGTATCAATATATCTGTGATCAAATAAATAAATAAGGTATATCTAACATTAAACCTGATTCATGGATATTTGATGTCAAATAAATTATTGAGAAATGACTGTTAGTTTCAACATTCTAATTTTATTCACTGAACTATTCGCAATATACACCAATATCCAAGTATTGTTTTCTTTACAAATCAGTTTCATCAAGAATAATATGAGGTGAAAATTTTCTTCAGATTATAGTAGAGGTTATTCAGAGTAAGTATTGGATGTCCACTTACTTACGCGTGTTATCCCTCGTGAAGGAGTATAGGCTGCCTATCAACATTTCCTTTCCAACTATACTCTGGACAATCCTTTCCAGTTATTTCCGATTGCTATTCATTCTTTTGATGTCTACTTTCAATTCCCGACTCAGTGTGTTCTTTATTCTTTCATTTAAATCGTTCAATTTCGTCGATTAGTTGAAGTTAGACATTAACATCGTTAGATGCCCGCTCAAGGGTCTAATGGTTAAGTGCTCGTGCACGAGACTGAAGGCCATGGGTTCGAGTCTCGCGAGGCGGGATCGTGGATGCGCACTGGCAAGGAGAAGTTTCACAATAGAACGAAACGGCCATCCAGCACTTCCACGTTTTCCATACTGGTCTAACTTCAATTCACTCATGATCTCAACAATCGGATATACCGCATTTCGTTTAATAGATCTGTTATTGCAATTTAACTATTTAAGCAAAACGAGAAATTATTAATAATCTGAAAGAGAACAATAATTACTTTACTATACAGAATCGTACTATCATCTTGTTCAATATATTGTTGAGGAGATCCAGAAAACTCTTCGATAAACAGCTCCAAATATGACTCAGTAAACACTGAATATTCAATAGAAGTTTTGACAGGAAACATCTATAAAGATGAAATGTCACATATCACGTTTCTGAATCGATGATTACCTATATTGCTACTACCATATTTAATAGAGTCCCAGGAATTTCCACAAACACAAGTCCATCTAAAACGCTATAGAAACTCTAGATTTTCTGTACATAATCAAACCTTGTAATAAATCGTTTTCTTCCATATTTCCCGCCTTTTCTCTTTTGTTAAAGTTGCTATGTACATTTAGTTTGGTTGTTACTAGAAGAGACTAGGAAACCGAATCCGGTGTTCAGTCAGAAGACTTATCAATATACATACATTATACACCTTTCAAAATACTCCCTTTTTGTGGAAACATACATGTTACAGCCCCATCATTATTATTCTATAAAATATTCCAGTAAGTGAATACAATTCCAAATTATTTAGTCGCTTTAATAGTTGAATTCATGAGTCAATTGAAGTTAGACCACTATGGATAATCTAGAAACACTGGACAACTGTTTCGTTCTATTGTGGGACTCCTAATCAGTGTGCATCCATGATCCCACCTGTTTGAGATTCAAATCCAGGACCTAGTAGTTTCGCTTGCGAACGAGAGATTCATGATTTTCACACAGAATTTCTATCAACTATCCAATTTTTTGATACTAGAATTGTTTAAAGAAATGATTGTCTGAAACTTAGTTCAACTATAATCATTCGAATAATTAATTAAGATTAAGAAAAAATAAACCAGAGATCCCACAATAAAACGAAACGGCTGTCCAGTACTTTCAGATTTTCCATGGTTGTTTAGCTTCAATTGACTCATGATTTGAACTTCTGAAATTATTATAATATCCACAAAATCACCCTTCTCATATTAATGATCATATGCTCAGTAATGAGATGGTCTCCAAGAGGTATTTCCTGGAGTTCCAGTGAGAAGCAGTGACTAGTGGAGTTCAACCGGATCTGTTATGAGATAGTAACTCACTGAACACTATGGTAGACGATGACGAGATTTCGTGAATTGGTTAAAGTTAGACATTAACACCGTTGGATGCTGGCAGGCTCAGTGGTTTATATGTTAAGCGTTTCCATGAATAACCGATAGGTCCCGTGTTCGAATCTCTCGAGGCGGGATTGTGGATATGCACTACTGATCAACCCCATACTAAGATGAAACGGCTATCCAGTGCTTCCAAGTTTTCTATGTTGGTCTACCTTCAATTGGCTCATGATCTGAACTATTGAAATTATTATAATATCCACAAAACCCCTCTCTAATTATAATCACCATATGCTCAGTAGTGAGATGGTCTCCAAGAGGTATTTCCTGGAGTTCCAGTGAGAAGCAGTGACTAGTGGAGTTCAACCGGATCTGTTATGAGATAGTAACTCACTGAACACTATGGTAGACGATGACGAGATTTCGTGAATTGGTTAAAGTTAGACATTAACACCGTTGGATGCTGGCAGGCTCAGTGGTTTATATGTTAAGCGTTTCCATGAATAACCGATAAGTCCCGTGTTCAAATCATCCATACTAGGATGAAACGACTATCCAGTGCTTCCAGGTTTTCCATGTTGGTCTACCTTCGACTGACTCATGATCTGAACTATTGAAATTACTATAATATCCACAAAAACCCCATTGGGATTCAATTCATGCACATACTGAACAGATCCTATATATATAAACTAGTTTATGGAAAACCATGGTGGTGGTGGTGGTGTTGAGGGGGTGTTGATGTAGTGGAGAGAAGTTATTTATAGTACCATTTACAGAGATAAGTAACTATGTTGACTTTTTTTTATATTTCAGATACATTCATACAGGAAGCTTTAATAAGGTCAACATCAATCATTCATGATTACATAGAAAAAACTATAAACCTACATTGAATACATTTGAAATCATACTTCAAATGGATGATAATGATGATAATAATAGTAAACAGCTTAATCTTAACTAAAACTAAGTTCAAGGATTTTGTCTAGTTTTAATATTCAATTAGAAATAAAATAGAATATACAGTGAAACAAATTAGACTTAAGATATACATTTAGAAAAAAATCCCCAGTATAACGATTGAATTGTTGCACATTAAATTACTGACTGACATATTTACTCCTGTTACTCCTCATGGAAGAGCATAGACCGCTCTGAGAAATTCTTTTCCAGTTGTTATTAATCTTTTTCATGTCTGTCTGCTTTAAATTACCGACTCAATGTGTTTTTTTTGGTTTTTCAATTTTTCATTTCCATTTAGGATTTCAAGTTAGTTACATATCTTGTGATGCAGTTTGATGACTTCCATAATGTGTGTTTTATCCACTTCCGATGTATATCCCTAATTTCGTCTTCAATTGGAATTTGGTTTGTTGCTTATGGTATCCGGTCAACCGATATTGAGCATCTTGTGTAGACAACTGTTTATAAATACTTACATCATTTTGATGATGGTCGTAGTAGTTCTCCACGTATCAGCTCCGTACAGTAGGATTGTCTTGACGTTCGTATTGAAGATTTTGACTTTGATATTGGTTGACAGTTGTTTTGAATTCCATTTGTTCTTCAACTATAGGAATTCTGTCCTTGCTTTGCCAATCCTTGCATTTACGTCTGCATCTGATTCTCCACGTTCATCTATGATGCATCCCAGGTACGTGAAAGATTCTATATCTTCCAGAGTTTTGCCATCAACTGTGAATAAATCGGTGTTCTCCGTGTTGAATTTGAGGACCTTGGTTTTCCCCTTTGTGTATGTTGAAGCCTACTGATGCAGAGACTGCTACTACACTGGCTGTCTTTATCTGCATTTGTTTGTGTGCATGCGATAGGATGGCTAGGTCATCTTCAAAGTCCAAATCGTCTAAATGCTTCTGAGCTGTCCATTGTATGCCGTGTTACCCCTCAGATGTCCAGGTCTTCATAAGCCAGTCAACCACCAGAAGATAAAGGAGGAGAGTAGACAGCCTTGTCTGACTCCGGTCCTTATTTGGAATGCATCTGTCAGCTGTCCTCCATGCAAGATTTTGCACTGTAGTCCGTTGTATGAGTTCCGTAAATTGTTGACGATCTTCTCAGAAACCCCAGTGTCGAAGAAGTTTCCATAATATTCTTCTATCTACATTGTCAAACGCCTTTTCATAATCAATGAAGTTGGTGCATAGTGACGAGTTTCACTTAAATGGTTGTTCGACGATGATCCGTAGTGTCGCAATTTGGTCTGTGCACGACCGATCACTACGGAATCCAGCTTG